TGTGCTTCTTCTTCACATTTTTTTTTTACTTTTCCTTTTTTCAATCAGAATTCTGTTGGTGGAACCATGCCAATATAGGCAGTGGCAGCAAGACAAAAAAGTCCTCAGGAACTGTGGCTTTGAAAGGAAAAAGAGAATCAGCCCTCTCAGAGCCAGCAGGCTTTGTCTACCTTCCTTTGCCATCATGGCATGTTGCTTGAAAAACTATATGCAAATGTAGTGCACCCACGGGATGCCAGGTACACCTAGATTTAATACAGTTTGGCACCACTTTAATTGTCATGGATCCTTACTATGAAATATTTTGGCAAGACACCCTTGGGCAGAGAAAGCTAAAGACTTGTAGAACTTAAGCTTGGCTGATCGTGTTTGTTAGTTTCTAAACTCGTTATGAATTCGTATTTAAATTAGCTTACGATCCAATATCGAGCCATGCAGGAATAGTGTGAGGAGTAATTAAGAATTGAAACAATTTTTCCAATTTTCGATATGTCTGGTGCAAGTTTTACAATCTCGCAGTTTCTCTTCCCTCCCCGGTAGCTTAAGCCGATGAATTTCCTCTCTCTCTCCCCTCCTGCGGCCACCTTTGCTCTGCTGCTTCCCCACCAGGGTTGCCTTTCCTCCCCATCCTCCTCCTCCTCCTGGAGAAGGAAGAGGGGAAGGAGAGAAATGGTTCAGGTGGCGCGGGGAGAATGAAAGAAACGGCACTGTTCCTTCCGATCTTCCTCCTCTTATAGAAGGAAGGGGGGAGAGACACAGAAAAGGAGCCAGGGACACCATTCCTCCCTTCTTCCTCTTCCTCCTCCTCCTGGAGAAGGAAGAGGGGGAAGAAGGAGAGAAAAGGCGCCACGGTTGCCTTTCCTCCCCCCCTCCTCCTCCTCCTCCTCCTCCTCCTGGAGAAGGAAGAGGGGAAGGAGAGAAATGGTTCAGGTGGCGCGGGGAGAATGAAAGAAACGGCACTGTTCCTCCCGATCTTCCTCCTCTTATAGAAGGAAGGGGGGGGAGACAGAAAAGGAGCCAGGGACACTGTTCCTCCCTTCTTCCCCATCCTCCTCCTCCTGGAGAAGGAAGAGGGGGAAGAAGGAGAGAAAAGGTGCCAGGGTAGCCTTTCCTCCCCATCCTCCTCCTCCTCCTCCTGGGGAAGGAAGAGGGGAAGGAGAGAAATGGTTCAGGTGGCGCGGGGAGAATGAAAGAAACGGCACTGTTCCTCCCGATCTTCCTCCTCTTATAGAAGGAAGGGGGGGGAGACAGAAAAGGAGCCAGGGACACTGTTCCTCCCTTCTTCCCCATCCTCCTCCTCCTGGAGAAGGAAGAGGGGAAAGAAGGAGAGAAAAGGTGCCAGGGTTGCCTTTCCTCCCCCTCCCCCTCCTCCTGCGCAATCGCGTCTGCAATAAACAAATAGATTCGTAATTAACAAAATTTTGGAAATTTCGAAATTTTGAAATCATAAATTTTGGAAGGCCTTTGAAATTCGAGGTATATGAATGAAGTTATTATTATTACATTATTATGAGTAACACATTTTCCTTTTGCATTGGAAGCTTGATCTTTGTGAATGTTAAGGTGTTAAGTCTGGCCCACACTTTGTGGACTAAAGGTATATGCAGCAAAACATTATTTTCATATTAGTGTTGCCCTACATTTGCCTAGGGCCCCCTGGTGGGGCAGCAGGTTAAACCGCTGAGCTGCTGAGCTTGCTGACCAAGCTGGTTCAGATCCAGGGAATGGGATGAGCTCCCGATGTTAGCCCCAGCTTCTGCCAACCTAGTGGTTCAAAAACATGCAAATGTGAGTAGATTAATAGTTACTGCTTCTGCGGGAAGGTAATGGCACTCCATACAGTCATGCTGGCCACATGACCTTGGAGGTGTCTTCGGACAATTCCAACTCTTTGACTTAGAAATGGAGATGAGCACTACCCCCCAGAGTCGGACACAACTGGACTTAATGTCAGGGGAAACCTTTACCTTTTACATTAGCCTAAAAGAACATAAAAACCCCAAAATTGATTTGCGTGTGCAAAAGCAAGTCTTTTTCTGCAAAATAAAACCACAGATGTGACAGACACCTTTGTATGGAAGGAAATAGGCCAAAGCTTTATTTGATTAGAGCTGTAAATAGGTTGTCTACTTTGGTCTGAATCCAGGCATTGACCAACCTGCATGTTGATCGATGAGCTCACCAATCCATCCCAACGCCAAATCCCCTGGGGGTAGTTTATGATGTGTGGAGCTCAAATCTGCTTTTGGCCAGGCATGACCAGTTCCCTGCCACACACACCAAGTTTCCTTTCAGAGAATCCCCATATTATTCCAATGCAATTTAGCCACTTTTCACCCAGTCCTGGATCCGTGAACCATGCCAGCTGCACCATCAGGTTGTGACTAATGTAGCAAGAATCAGCCAAAACATATGGAGGGTGGGTGGGACAACATTCTAAGAGACTGGCTTTCCAGCACCCCCTTTTCACCCCACCAATGACCACAGTTAAGGCACATCTAGATCACCTGGGTCAAGGTGGGGAGGCTGCCACCAAGGAGGGCAGATTTGATTTAATTGACAGGCAGCTCCTCAGGTTCCTGAGACCAAGACTGCTGTGAAGGTCTCACAGGGAGATAACTTGTATAGCTCCAGTCCTAACCTGCCTTGCAAATTGAGCTACCTGGTACATCAGGCAGCATTTTTTAAAATATATCTTTGGAATTAATTCAAGGTTTAAAATGTTAAAATAGAACATTTAAACAAAACAAGTATATAAATAAATAACTATCTAGCAAAGGTAAGGGTCCAAGGGGGCACAAACTATATTTGAACCATCAATTGGAGCTTTTCAAACCTTGAGCAAGGAGCTGTCCAACACAAGGACAGGAATATCATTGTGGTATTCTCCCTATTGACTGAGCTCAGCTCCCACCCATCAGAGTTACTCATTCATCTATATCTACAGTATTGTGGGTGCTGGAACATCTGGAATCAGTATTTATTTATTTTTCATTGTAATATCAATATTCTGTCTTTGAGGATGAAATATCTTAACCATCATCTTGGGATCCAGCGTAAGTACACTGGTGGTAGTGTACTTATTTGAATACTTCAAATAAAAGAGTCTAAAGAGAAACTCAGTATTCAACAAAATACTGAATTTTTGTGTACCTTCAGGTTATTTTCTGACTTAAGTCAACTACAAGGGGAACCTAACACAATGTTTCTGTGGCTTAAAGTTTATGACTTAGCCACAGTTATCTAGTGGGCTTTCATGATTGAGCTGAGATTTGAACTCTATTCTTCAGAGTTGTAGTTCAACACTCAAAACACTATGCCATGCCTGCTCAAAAGAGTAAATAGATATGTTATATGGCATATAGAAGGGGCATAAATATGATAATTAGAGAAACAGATATAATAGGTACTTGGTCTGAAGCTGATCAGAAGTTTTCAGGGTTTTCAGTGCAAACTGCAAACAGAAACTATACCAGAAAATCTCATACACAATTTCCTTGTTGCACTTGCTCAGTGAGTTTTTTCTCTAATCATAGTTTCCAAGTCCACTGCTGTTTATGTTGCTGCTCAGGGAACTTCCAATTACATTCCATATAAGTCTTTGCTGCAGTACGTGGTAGTTAAAAACATCTTTATGCAGAAATCCAGGGTCATTAGGCTGAAAATGGTAAAGCCTCATATCTGTATGAGTTCCCTATGACCTGTTGTTTAGAAAGTCTTGCTCTAGAATTCTTGAACATGTTTACAAAAGATGAAACTATAAACAAAACTGAGCATATATTTTCTAATAATACTGGCCATTGTTTGACTGTATTCTATGAAGTGCTGCAAAGGTATTTAGATGCACATGTTTACACAAACAAACAAGCATATGCACATTAATGCATAACTGAAGTTTGGTCTTCTTCTTTGCCACCATTATATCAGAGAAGAAATATAAGAACCATAATGGCATATGTATATTCTACATGTTTAGGCTATGTGTTTATGGACCCTAATAAAGAGCACAATTGAGGTTTTGTCTTGTACTTCACAGTTATATCAGACAAGAAAGATAATTTACATTTTCTGGTTGTGGGATAATGAACCCTAAGAATCAGAGCAAATTTGATATATGGCCAGCTGTATATTTTCTTGTAAGATTAATTTTTTGAGATGAAAAGAGTAAGCAACTCTTATTTTGGTGCTTAATTAAAACTCATACTTTTCAATGACTATGATTCTGTTGGGCAGGATGATCTGGATTGGGGAAAAAGAAAATGGTATTTTAACTCTTTGTATTCTGTAGTAACTTTTCCATTGAAACTCACCACTGTTACCAAAATCCTTTTTGTCTCTATATTAGTAGGGCTAGAATCAGGATACACAGCCATCGACCTGTCGATCTTCAGTCCTGCCGGCACAGGGGTTTAACCCACTTTGCCACTAGGGGCTCCAAAAGGTTAGGTGTCTGACCATGATGTTGATCCTCGACATACGGGTATATATCTGCTTTTTATTGGTAACAAAAAGATATCCTTCACTGGAGTCTCCTGAACTGAAATTCATTATCCAGAGAACACAAATTCTTGATCTATCCCAGGTGTAATTCTGTCCTTTACTTCTGAAAATTTACTGTTAGTAATGTGTAACACTATAAACATTTTTTCTCCTTGGTGGGTGCCAACCTGTGTAAAATAAAGTAATCTATTTTTCTGGACTGTATGACTTAACTTTGGCAATTCTAAGAAGAAATAGTGCTTTGTGACATGTTTCATGAGAACTGGATTTTCTCTCCAGCATTTTGCCAATGAAGTTTGGAGTACTGTGGAGATCACATTCTTTAGCTGGAACATATTTATTCTTTTGGGAAAATGACTAAAAACCATTTCATTTGCCTGTCTAACAAAACTTCCACTTTTCAAGCTAAACTAAAAAAATCCAAATAGAAGAAAATTTTGACAGCTCAGTGACTCTTTTTGTGATTCTTACTTCTTTTTTTCCAACTCTCTTACTTGCAGATAAACACAAAGAATCTAACAGGACACCCTGTCCACCGACCCTTATTTTACATACTGAATTAAAAAATAAACCAACAGAGAATGAAGACAAGGTTTGTTCCACATTACTTTCCTCGAATCTGGGAAACACTTGATCTGCTGCAAAACAAAGAACAGGGGCTTGTTGCATAGATTTCCTTATTTAAAGCAATGATATTATGTAGTGGGACTTTACAACAATGCACTGGCCCATTGTTGTATAGCTCCAGTCAAACATAAGTTAATGGGCTAAAATTTCTATCAGCCATAACAAGTTTAGCTAATTAAGAGGAATGTTGGCTGCAAAACTTATATAGACGGCCCAGATTTTCTGTTCCTGCTCCATCTGCTTGCTATAGCTCATTCATATGCAAGCATATAATGAAAGGAGTAAGGAAGAGGAATCATAAATTCTAAATTATGCATCTTGACACTATGATATATAAAGACTGGGCTAGAGCAGTGGTGGGAATTATTCGGTTGTTTGAACTACTGTTGAACAGCAACTCAAAGCAGCCAAGGCCAACTTGGCCAGTGGTGAAAGATGCTGGGGGTTGTAGTCCAACAATATCTGGAGGGCCAGTGTTTGGGCAATATCTGGATTCCCATCTTTGGGATAGAAGAAGAGAAACTGAATGACTAATACAATACTAACAAGGGTTCAACTTGGAGAAAAAGTTCACTGACAAAAACCTGAAATGGGCACTAACTTTGATGAAAAATGAAAATACAAAAAAAAAGTGTATCATAAAAAACAATATAATAAAACATCCCGTTGTTTAGTTCTTTTGTTATAAATTATATGTTTCCTCTCTTAATACCTATGTGCTGTTCATGTTTTATTGTTGAAGCTATGGTTGTTTTAGTAAGTAAAAGAAACAATTACCTCCTATTCCAACTATTATCTATTATTTTCCATTTTGGTGCCTCTATTTTGTTATACTAAGCCTAAATACTGACCAAAAAGAGCTCAGTGATCCTCCACTTTTGGCCCATCAGATGCTCAGGTTCTGGACATCCAGTTGTCCAGCTAGTGGTAAGGATCTCTGGGAGTTGAAGTCCAATTCTTCTGGAGAGCCAAAAGTTGAGAATCACTATTGTAGACTAATGCATTATTTAAATGACTGGAAAGAAAAACACAGTTTAATCTCATTTGTGTATCTAAAGTGAAGTACATAGCATAGAAATGCATTCTCTTGATCAAATTCTGTATGTTTTTCCCTTGAAGAATCATGCTTTAAAGCTACTCCAAGATGATGATGGTGGTGCAAATGGCAACAAACCTGTGGCATCCACTCCAGTGCCAGGATCTCCATGGTAAGCCAGTGCAAACCAGGTATATTTAATCAGTCTCTGTAGATAATACTCAAATAAGAATTGGTGATCTACTTTGATTGTGGAAAATGATTTTTAAAAAAGAACTGATAATGTGAAGTCATACTTTTATTACCATAACTTTACAACATGGTGAAATAAATATATTTTAAAAAATTATAAGACTTCTTGTCCCGTTTCCTAGACTACATATACAAATATGTAGATGTAGAAACAACATTAAAGACATAATGTCTTTAATGGCTCTAGATATACATACATGTTTTAAAAAGAAGAGTTATAGGTAGTGATTCTCCTCTCCCACATAGCTGGGGTAGTGCATCCAATCCCAAAAAATTGCTAAATAGAGCTTCAGAGAATCCTGGTGAATTTCATGGGATGTGGTATGCTGAATTATACCCTTAAATTAAGTGATGGCATCTTCTTCGAGTAGAGCTATTCCATTTACAAGAGGCAGCTCATGGTTCCTATCACTATACTAGACTACATCCTACTTAAAATCTTACTCAGTGTGATCTATGACCAACTAGGGTTGTACTGTCATTACAAGCCAGTCATGAAGGAAAGTTTTAGGAATACTTCTAAGACCAAACCTGTATTTGGGTTACACTAGAAGAAGTAATCTTTTAGTTGTTTGCTTTTATTGTTGATATACAGGCCAGTGTTGACTCATCATGCAGATTTCATCATGTGATCCATCACAGAATCACACTGAAACATGGAGCGGACCTTTAGGGGATATATTATTAATTCATGCCCATTTAGATGTAGCATCAAAAAATACCATAAACCATTATAAATTAACACACCCAGTAAACCTGGAACTGATCCCAAACCCTCTCCACTTGTAGGCTGGCTCCATGCTTCTGATGAATTCTGTGGTTGATATGACATTACCAGACATGCACTGGAATGTCATGTGGGAACAAGAGCAGGATGTGTGAAAATGATTCCAGGTTGTACAGCTTATAACAAATTAAAAGGTGAGTTTTGATTGCTTCTGTGCAATCACATTAGCTCTGAAAAGACATTCATGACATGCTGTAAAGACTGTGGAGTTGTCATGTCAAATTCGGAGTTCACATTCAGCCTCAATACCTGTAGGGTAGAGTAAAGTTTTCTGTCATTTAGGTATATTAAAAGTAAATAACTAGGCCATTGAATTTGCTTGAAGAAACAGATATGTCTTTGGGGAGATGTTTCTGCAGGATACTCTTAATTTGTTTCAAAAGCAATGTTGTTTCTGTTCCATAATTTGGATTACTGCATATTCTATGATAGTTTAGAACATGATTTCAAGTCCATTCTATAAGGATATAAGAGCCCTGAAGCATCAGGCAAAATCCAGTCTAGCATTCTATTGAATCCATAGTTAGCCAAATGCCTGTAGGAAGCCCATAAGCCAGATTTGAGTTCAACTTCTTCCCTCCATCATACTTCCCAGAAACTAATACATAGGGGCATATATATCCATCAAAAGCCAGATCCAGCATGGATTTGTTATCCAGATTGGGGGGCATCAATACATTTTTAGAGTAGTGAATTCAACAATGCAACTATGTATTGTGTGGAAAAAGTACTATATTTAAAAACACATTTTTTAAAATTTCCCATCATTCACTTTTAGTATCTGACTCCTAGTAGCATGAGAAGAGGGTATTTCTTCCTATTTACTTTTTCAACGCCATTCCTAATTTTATGTACTCCCTTATCATCTCTTTCTACTGGTCTTTCATGAAAATTTGAAGATGCTCCAACAGTTCAATCTTTCCTCATTGAGGGTTTCTTCTAACCACTTGGTTATTTTTTTGTTTGTTTTAAAATACTATTTAATCTATGCTCATACTAGCTTTGGTATGGTCAACACCACCCACAACTTATGATTCATGGCCCAAATGTCATGAAACATAAAGATTCACTCAACCTTTTGCATTTCATAACTTTTGGATCTTAAAACCATTTACTATTACTGTCTCAAAATATATTGCACCCTGATTATACACCTTTTAATGGAATGTATCGCAGAGGTCAACGAGAATTAACTCAAAAAAGTGTTGAATGCAGCCCTATTTTATTTATATTCAGTACACTATTAAACGGCCCAGTAACCAGTATTCTTTGGGTAGACTACAATAAATTAGAAATATATAAAGTTAAAACAGTGAATAGAAATTGCACATAGCAATTCAATTATAAAACTAGCAGACCCTAGACCATAAGTAGGCACTAGAGTCTTTTTTGCATTTGCACTGAATTGGCTAATGTAACTGTATTATATCTCAATCCCCCCGCCTTTCAAATAACATTTATTTTCTTGAGCATTCTTCCTTTCCAGTCTAAAAACAGTGTTGTATTTTATTTAGCTAATCTGTGTTTCAGTTGCATACACTACTGCTTTCTTAAAAATATATTTGCTGGTTATAGTTTGGTCCCTGCCCCTAGAAAATCAATATTTGTAATATCACCACTAAAATAATTTGTTTAAATGTTATTAGCATATGAAACCTCCAAGGTCTAGTTGAGGCCATAAACCAGAGATGGAAAATTTGTCGCTCCAAATCTTTATGAACTGCTACTCCCAGAATCCCTCACCATTGTTAGAACTAATGGTACTTCCATTGAAGGGCTACATGATCGTCACCTTTTTTATACATTTTAACTACGTTGTAAATAAACTTCAGCAAAATTCCTATGGAATCGCACTGTTAATCTTTGAGTTGGAAAATATTTATGTCTAGTATATGTGCATTTAAAATATTGGTTGCCCATTGTAAATTAATTTTTCTCAACACACATTTCATTTAAGGATCAATTTCTTTACTTTCTGATCAGTACAGGGTAGCCTATTATAAAATGTTTGAGCAAAGAATTCATAGCCAAACAGTTGTCCAAACCAGAGAGGTTGCTAGAGAATCAAATTATTTAATCAAATAGTAATAGTTCAGGGGTGAGAAATTTGTGACTTTTCATATACGTTGGACTCCAGCTTCCAAAAGTATTGGCCAATATGGTCAATAATAAAAGTTGATAGAAACTGAAGTCCAACCATGGGCAGGATGTGGACCAAATGTGCGTGGAGGCATCTTTCCTAACACACTCTGTTTATAGTTTATGAGCCACCAATGAGTCCAATAACTTCTGGTAGGCCACAGATTGGCCTTATTTATAATAGAAAAAGTTAGCAGCCATAATGTCATAAACAGGTCTAGGAGGAATATATTGTGATTCAAACAGTCTTGATTGAGGAAAGGAAGTTGAGGAAATCTTCCTGAGCCAACCAAAACGACCAAGTGGAAAGACACTGATAAGCCTAATCAGAGAAAGCCATTGCCAGAAAACACCAGGATTCAGGCTGAAGGATTAGAACTGGAAGGGATGGATCTGAAAAGTTGTCTCCATTATAACATCCAGCGGTCTGACTGGGTTTCAGCCAGCTTTTTCTACAGAGGCTGATTGTGAAGCAGGAACATCTGTTGTGATTGTGCTGTGGACATTTACCTCTGGACTAGTTCACTCCCCCAATACAAAATTGTGGCTTGGCAGTGTCTGCTGCTCTTTCAGAAAGAGGCACAACACATCAATATGCTTTAACAAATGTATTTTCTGTTTCTCTCCTGTTGCTCTCTGAAATTCTCAAGGTACCATATTGACTGGAAAAAGCCCAACTATTCATAATCTAAACTGTACAGCCCGTTCTGATTTTATGGAGAGCAAACCCAATTATAACTATAATGAGTCTTGATGTAAGAAATATTTATGTGCTGAATCCTATTGGGATGCCCAATTAGAGTACAGTCATTGTTAAATGTGACTCAGCAGTGAATACGCCACTGATGAAATAGGTCTACTCTGATTTAATTTATTTTTGCTCTAAAACGAACAATCAGAACAGGGATGGAAAATATGTTGTCTCCCAGCTGTTTGGCTGCATTGGTTCAAAGAGCCAATTAACTATGCTGATTAGAGTCATGGTGCAACAACATCTGGAGGACCAGATGTTGCCCATCCCTGAATGAGCTCAATAGTAGCTATTTTACCCATTTTAATTATATAATATGATCTCAAGAGGGACTTCTACCCAATGGATAGGAGGAGAAGCTTCAGTTTGCCCACATCAGATGATCAATATAATCAATCACAAGTTTTACAGCTCATGTGGAAATATTTCAGTGTCAATGTTATTTAATTTATCTGAATTCTTCCTTTTTTATTTCTGCGTGGTTTGGTTTGCACACTGCAATGTCTGATTTTACATTTCTCCCTAACTAGTGCATTCTTTTGCACAACTTTCACAGTTTAGGCAACATTTTCATTGAATACAACGTGTCCCTTATTCAGTTGCATTCTAGCAATTCCCATTTTAAACAAGGCACACCTTATTTCCTAGAAGTGCCTCTTAAGTTTCATAAATATGTTAATGTTTGAAATGAAATGTGTATTTCTCTTTACAAATGTCAGATTTTGCAAAAATAAAAATAAAAAATTGCTGAGCCAGTTAATTCAAGCAACGTTCTTAGCACAATCCTATATATGCTTGTTTAGCAAAAAAAAGTAAAAATCATTAAGTTGATTGAAAGGGTAGAGGACAGAAGTCTGTGACAATGGTTTGGTAATGAGACCAAACAGCACAAAATACATCTTAAACAGCATCCTATGGTGTTTAACACCACAATCTGTATTCTTTCTGCCCAATCCAGATGGTACAAGTGTAATGGCATATGTTTTGACCAGAAGATGAATGTCAAAATCCATACTGTAGCAATGATTTTATGGGCCAACCAAAAAGGTCCATAAAGTAGGCCTCGAGTTCCTGAGTTACAGACTAAAATCCATCAGGATTAATTTAATCATATGCAAACTTGTCTTATCTCATCACAAAACATGTTTACATAGCTATGGGACCATACATGTTTCTTCCCATCATATTAGCAGACATACTATTGTGCCTTTTTGATTGTCTTAACATGTACATTTGACATCAG